CTGATCTGAATTAGTCAACAAGTTATGGAAAATAGTATTATATTTAATTTTAGAAGTCTATCAAATTATGACCACAATCACAGAAAAATTACACATTTTTAGAGCAAAGGAAATTTTTTTAAATTTTTTAATAAAGCAAAACCGGGGAAAAAACAAAAGAAAATTTTGAAAAAAAAAACGATTTTCCAAATTACCTCAAAATAAATTAAAGTCACTATAATACAATCATTCAATTAAAAATTCTAAACAATTTTGAGAAATTTGCTTTACTGGTTTTTCTCCTTTCTCTGTCAGTCATTTATACAAGTATTGTATGCCTCATGAATGTCACTCTGCATAATTAAATGATGCTTAAAATTTTACACTCACCATAGGAGAGTAAATGGGAAGCTCCTTGAATGGATTAACAAGCAAGAGGATGTCCCCAATAAACGTCTGTTAACACAAAAAATGCAATTAGTTTATGAACCATATAAATGGCACCTTTAAAGATTACATAATTTAAAAACATGGTACAAAATATAAAGAATATGTAAAATTAGTCTCAACAACTTGCAAAAAAAATTGCAATTAAAGAAAGAGTAAAGTCAAATTCAAATTGAATAACACTACTCATAGGCTTTGTTCCACTGAACATCTAACAAATGAACAGTTGAACTCAAAGAGTCTCTGACGTTAAAGGGATTTGTGAGACCCAGACGGCACACCAATGCAGAATTAAAACATACCACAAAATGCACAGGAAGACATAAATGGGGAAGTGAGTGTTGTGTTGCTACAGAATAATAACAAAATGAGTAACTAAAAAGTTAGTAAAGCACAAAAATAATAAAAGACTTTTTAATGCCAGCCTGGTGCTGTGGCCAACGCCTGTAATCCTAGCACCCTGGGAGGCCAAGGCAGCTAGATCACCTAAGCTCGGGAGTTCAAGACCAGCCTGAGCAAGAGTGAGACCCCATCTCTACAAAAAATAGCAATACTAGCCAGGTGTTGTGGCGGGTGCCTGTAGTCCCAGCTACTTGGGAGGCTGAAGCAGGAGATTG